TATCTCACTGGGGTTGTGTTACACATCACATTAAGCCATTGTTTGCTTTAACTGCCATTTTTAGTAAGCCTCAGTGGCAGAACTGACATATTGTACTTAGCCGTATACTATGGTTTATAACTCTCAAAGGCAAGATTTGAACACTTGCTAAGCTGGATCTAAACAAACCACATTATGCTTAACTGAGATGCTGATTAAATTTGGTTAAGTATTCACTGAAACGCTTCTTTAATGCCTTTTTGAGAAGAGCTTCGATAAGCCAATTATTTTTCTATGGGGCAGCTGACATCGGTGCTTTGTTATTGCAACAAACATGTCTGGTTCTGACCTTGCCCATTCTAATGACCTCACAGGAACAGCAGGTAGGGCACCTGTCCCATCAGACTATCGGCCAAATTCTGCTTGGATAAACTGCTGAAACCTAGATTTTCACTTTGGGAATGTGTTTCAACCCTCTTTAGGACTGCAACCTCTCCCAAAATGGGCTGTCCTGTTAGAAAGGGGGCCAAAGTCTAACAACTTATCTTTTAAGTGTAATTCTATGCATACTTTTATAAGTCCTATAAAATCTGCGGGACATATTTCTAAACAAGTAAGGGAGCAAGCTGTCCAAGTGATTCCTATGTCACTGGTTGGTTCTTACCATTTATGTGCTGCAGTTTCATGTTTCCAGGTATTATATTCCAAGCAGTAGCAGCTCTGAGCAAAATCTGGATTCTCTGAATTAATATGAGCTTTGAAAATCTTTTTAAGTAAGTATTGTTAAATGCAGTCTATGAGATGCACCCCAGTTCATACTTTACTTTACTTTAAGTAAGCCCTTTTTAGGTAAGGGCTTACTTAATGCAAGAGCCCCATCAGTGGGGTAATAAGGGGAGGCACGCTGGGCCACATCACACAGATGAGTAGAATCAGGATTTTTGTTTTTCTTTTTCTTGTTCTGTGTCATCAAGTCAGTCTTGGCTTCTAGAGACTACACAGCACCTTTGATTAAGATTGTGCAGAGCTATGGGACATAGCACCTGCTTGCAATGCTTCAAAGCAGTCGTGTATTTCCCAAACTGCATGGCAGTTGCAGAATAGCCACACAATGCCCGAAAAGGGTGTGTCTACTTTAAAGAGCAGCAGATAGGCATCAAGTTCAAATCCAAAACACTGCACAGCTCTAGTTTTTAAGCATTTCACACTTCAGAACAGCAGGAAAGTCTACCACTGATTTTTGGCACCACTTAATTTTGTTTGCAATGTTGGAGGGAACTTCAGAGGAGGTTTTATTGTTAAATGCAGTCTATGAGATGCACCCCAGTTCATACCTAATGTTTTTTTGCAGTTATCCTAAACCATCAACCCTTATGCAAGAATCAGATTACCCTCATCTTTACTGATATTCTGCCAACACCAAAGGACTTTTCTTTTTCAGCAAGCTTTAAACTCTGTTGCTGTTTAAATTCTTATGAATTATTTATAGGCTAGCTTTGTGAGTTGTATTTTTATGTTGTTTTTATTCTTGTTATCTTACCTATTTTATGATTTTAATGATGCAGATTATTATTATTTTAATTCTGCTAGATCTTGCAAATGTTTTGAGTGCTTTCCTGCAAAGGAGAAAAGTGAGATAAAGGAAAAATAATAGTGCAGAAAACATGCAACCTTCTTTTGCTCTGGTAGAGTCTAGAGATGCCATCAGGTACAAGCTCTGGCTCTCCTTTTTATCTTATCTTTCAGCCAATGCTAGCAGACCATTTGATACACAAATCCAAATACAATGGAGTAAATGGATAAAAAGCCAATTGAGTACTATTAAAGAAAAGCCTTATCCTGCCTTAAAACCCCATGGATGGTCACTGGGGGAAAAAAAGTCCCACTAAATCCAGTAGAGTGTATGTTCAAGTGTTTACATTTCAGGCTGAAATGTGTGCCGTAAATTCATCAACATATTTATTACATTTATATCACATACTTTTCTTCCACAGTTTAACATGGTATATAAAGTTCTTCCTTCACATTTGATCTTCATAACCACCCTGTGAAGTACGTTAGCAGAAGAGAAAGAGGTTTCCTAAAGTCACCTTGAGAGCTTTGTAGCTGGTTTTCACCAGTTCTAGTATAATGCTAATAACCACAACATCAGTCTGACATGTGTATTATACTCATTGACTGTAAATATACATTTATGTAAACCTGTGCTTTGAGGAATACAGTAAGGGAGTGAGAAAGTAAAATCTGAAGTTGGAACACACAGCTTGCTAAATTCACAAGGAACAGTGAATCTAAAAACATTTATGCTAATTCTGACCTTCTAGGATAGATCCATGGAATAAAGGAGACATCAGATCAAGAAATTATAGCTTCCTTATGACTGCAATAAAATACATTTGGGGTCCACTTTAATCTTGGAGTGATTATTTATTCAGCTAAACTTCATTTTGTTTATACTTTCAAATGGAGTCAAGAAATTCTGCAGAGATCACTGGCTCTCAGCTTGCTTCACTTTTGCTTCAGAATATGTGCCAATGTGAAAAAAAAAATACCACCAAAAACAATCTAAGCACTACCCTGTATATATTATTTCTTTCTTTATTGATCTGTCCAATATCAAATATTCACTGGGAAAAATTTTTTTTAAAAAATGGGGGGGATTGACATGAAGGAGACAGATGGTTAGAAAACAGGTAGGAAAACTTCTTAAAATCCCTTACTCATATAGCACTTCCAGACAATTAGAACAGAGGAAGGTTTTTTTAGGAGAAGCATTTAGGTCAGATTAACCCACGTAGGACATCTAGGTCAAGCAGCAGCCTCTGAAATTCCCTTGAGATCATATGTAAGTATCTCCTATTAGCAGCCAGGTCTTTCTAGTTTCCATGGACATAGGACAAGAAAAGGGGCCTATTGTTTTATTTTATCAGACCACTGGTCACTTAGCCCAATATTGTCTTTAATGGCTGGCAACAGTTATAGACATGGGCAAGTGGGAGGAGGCAAGGAAGGTGGGAGATGGCAAAACATATGTGATGACCTATCCCACAAATGTCATTACTTACATCCTTGCATCGCTTGTTAGGAGTGATTATCCTGACCACAGATGCATCATGCATTTGTTGTCATTTTGACATCACTGTGTTTTGCTGCAGTTGCCACTGGTTCCATAGTTTGAGAGAGGAGTCTTCTGTTCATCATTCACATCTGTAGCCCTGTCTGGAGATGCTAAGGGCTGAACATAACCTTCTATAGGTAGAACATGAACTGTTTCTTGAAGAATGGTTCTTCCCATTTGCATCCAGAAAGCATATAAAGTGTTGCTTTATGATCTCATCCTAAGCAGTTAGATCCTAATGAGTCCTATCAGACTTATTCAGGTACAAATGTTCTGAGGACTGAAAAATGAAAGATATTCTACAAAGCAAATCATAACACAATGATGCAGATTTACATGACTTACAAGGCCTAGATGGTGGCCTGGAATTGTGGGAATTGCAGAATTCAATATATTCTAGATTGCAGAAGGTTAAGAAAGGCTCTCATGTCTATTCTTCATCTCACATAATGCAGAACATTCTTCCTACAGAGAGATCTGAACCTTGGATTATATGAACAAACCTTATTTTATGTTTCACTACAGATGTTGAATCATTAATATAGGACTTGGGACATTTCCATCCCTAACACATCCCCTTAATAAAATATGGCTAGGGGAGTCAAGGTCAACAAAGAAGAGTTAGGCATCACTGAACATACTGTGTTCAATATATATTCAACCTCCCTCCCTATTTTTAAAAATAAAAACATTACTGACTCACAATATAGGTGTAAAAATATTCCAGAAAACAGCATAGGCATGAATATTTGTGTCTTTATACTATAAAATAGCTCCAGTAATCCTTAGCTCTCAGAAACTACATTTCTACAGGGCAAACTGTAAGGTTGTTTCTAATAGTTCCCCTTTCTTAGTTAATCATCCCCCAAAAGCTTCTCTGAAAAGCCCACATAACATTACCTGTTATTTCACCTGATGTTATCCCTTGAAAAGCTACGCTTTTATCTAGGAATTCTTTGTAGAGATAGGCAGTACAGAAACTTTTACTGGCTTTAGATGCTAGCAGATACACTTCTAGTAGACTTTTCCACTTGTCCCAAGAGAAGAAAGTGAAATTACTTTTTCAGCAGCATGATATGGAGGAAAAAGCTACATATGTTTGCAACAATGTATTACAACTTTACCTACATTTTCCATTGCCATATCTGCCTGGCATATTCTTTTTCCATTTTTTGAATCCAATGAAAATAATAGCACGTTTGTGATATTTTAGGAAGGGACAGAGATAAAAGAAAACTGGAGAAAAGAATGTGCACCATATAAATCCTCATTACATAATAGTGTTGCATCTTACAAAGTTTATCCAATCCAGGTTGCTTGGCAGGAATCCCACCAATCAGCTATCTTTAGATGACCACCCAGAATTGGCCAATGGTTAATTGCACTAGTGAACTATGATTTATTTTCTATTAAACTCAACAGATATTTTGAACTTCAGCTGCCATGATGCATTTCACAGAAATTTCACCGGCTGCATTACTGATTAACCTAAGTTTTCTAACTTAAAAAAAAAAAAGACAGCTCAGATACCACAAAAATTAAGTCCCCCCAAATAAACCTTTGGCCTCCACACACCCCGATTTCCCCTGCAGCTCCAGCAAAAGCTATTTTATCCTGAAGTCACTACACAAATGCTGTACCATGACTTTTTCTTTTCTTTTTTTTTTTTTTTGGACTTCCAAGCAGAGCAGATCAAAGTAGCACGTGAATAGGAAACAGCGCTCAAATGCCCAGACGGAATGAAGAACAAGACGGGGGGCGGGGGTGGGGGCAGGGAAAGGAAGGGCTCCTAGTTTTTAAAGTCTCCAAATCGAATCCATCTGGAAGCCAACTCCAGGGTACAGACGTATGCGCGCGCACACATACATACATACACGGGGAGGAAAGGGGAAAATATTTTTACCTTGCAGATTTTGGACTCTGATGTCGCTAATCTGTCCGATCAGCTCCTCCCGCTGAAACCAGTCCCATTCGCTCCCAGCCATGAAGGAGCAGGCAGACGTGGGGATGGTATCACCGCGGCTCCAAAAAGGGGGAACCTTCCAATGCGCTTCCCTCCCCCCAGACAAAAACTGACACTCGAAAGGAGAGAGGAGGAGAAAATGAGAAAGAAAAAGAAGGAAAGAGCCAGCGGGGAAGGGGAGGAACTGCTTACCAAGAAGGGAAGCGGGGAAGGGAGAAGAGCTGGACGGAGACGGGGGGGCCGAGCAGAGCCACCGGTCGCCCGGGAGGTGGGTCAGAGCGCCCCCGGTCCCAGACTTCACAGACGCGAACACGAAAGGGGGGAGGGAGAGCGGAGTGCGCAGGTGAAAGGTAAGCGCTGAAAGCAGATCCAGAGGCCCCTCACCCCCCGGTGGACTCAAGTTTTTAAAGGGCGGCGATGGCAACTCCTGAGGTTTCTAAGCTGCATCCTGGGATGTTTCTCACTGACGTGACGCAGCCGCAAGTTTGGCTAGAGTAGGGCTGAGGAGCACGCCCGCAGCTTCAGGTTAATGTTTACTGGAAAGCAGGACGCGTAAAGCTCACTCCAGGCGCCCATTCACGCGCCTCGCTCCAGTCCAAGCCGCGCCTCGCCTCGCCGCGTTCCCGCCCCTTTTCCGCAGGCCGAAAAAAATGAACCTGATTAATCATTTTTCAATCGCCAATTGGTGAGTGGGTGGGACGATGCAAAGGAGGAGGGGAGAAGAGGTTCAAAACTCTGGAAAGGCAAACGGAGATTCCGGTGCCCGGCAGGAGCCTCGTTCTGTGGGGAGCAGCGGCGGCCGCGACGTCCATTCAAAGAAGGAAAAATAAAATGCAGCTTTGCTTTCTGGCTTGGGGGCTTCAAGCCGTGTGTGGTGGCGGAGAAAAGGAAAAGCAGCGCTAGCAGGAGATTAAAACCACCCAAGCTGCGAAAGAGGGAGGCGGAAGAAAAAGTGTGGAGGCGGAGGAAAAACATTTATACATCTCTAAACGGCAGATTCTGCAAGCATCCAGGACTTGGGCAGAAGCATTATGCCCGGAAGCGGATAAAAATGGGATTTTTTTCTGATCCTACCCCCGGGTTTAACACGCAACAGTGGAAAATAATATTTCTCTCTCTCTCTTTCTCTCTCTCTCTCACTCACACACACTGGGTCTTATTTTGTCCCAACCATTTTCACATTTTATGCCATTTTAATTTATCACTTGATTGGCTCTGGAGACAGTTGTGAGTGATGATCACAGGACACATTTATGGATAACAACATCATGGTTTACTAAATTAATACAATTTTCTGGATTAATATGAAACACTGAGTGTAAGTTTACCAAATGGATGGGTTTGCACAAGATGACAGACTAAAACATGGCTAACTAGTGAAGGGTTAAGTATGCCCTACAAACACAGCCTGGATCTTTGCTGCCTAACATAATCCATATTCTTGGCAAGGTTTGAGCCAAATGCTTTTTGGACGTCAGGTGCTTTAGGGCTCAAAGAATTCCCCTCCAAGGGCTACCAGATCTGGAGTACAGAAATCTGGATGACCTTTAGATGGCAGCAAAAACTCTTTGTCTAATCGTTCAGATTGCTGTAGCTCAGATTGGTAGCCCTACCTTAATTTGGAGACCTTTCCAGATCATAGTTTTGTTATCAAAATAAATAAATAAATAAATAAATAAATAATGCGCCATTCTATATTACTTCAAGAAGTCCATAACCTGTCCTCTATCTCTTATGGAAGTAGTGTATTTCATTTATGCAGTGAGCAGAGATTTTAACTCTGTGGTCTATGCAGCTTCTTTATAATTCAGTGCATTGATTACAGGGCATTCACATTCTTTTGCTTCAGATAACAAAAGTAGAAATAATACCTATTTCCTAGAATCCAAAAAGTAACATTTTGTTAGTATGCAAATGTTCCAAACTTAACATTACCATTGCTATTTGTATTACAAAGCAAAATAACCTGAATTCATCATGGGCACTGACCCAAAAGTATGTGTAAATCACTGGACACAGTGAGACATTCCTCTTAGGTTGGTTAGAGGAAGTAAATTCTGTATTTGACCTGAAATTATTACATTTACTCTTCCTTCCTTGGGAAGGAGCAAAATTAGTGGAAAGTGGAAGCTTAAAACATATATCTTTGATTAAAGTATGCATACAGGTGCACAGGAAAGGAGAAGATAATGGGGACAGTAGCTCCAGAATTCAGTCCTCAGCATCTTCAGGTGCCAATCAGTGCAGATGATACTGAGTTAGAAGGTCCAATGGTCGGTTTCAGTATATGGTTCATTTGACTATGGCTTAGTGAATAAACACAAGTTTCACTAAGCCATAGATAATAAATAAACCATGGTTCACAAATGACAAAGGCTGGATTCATTCCACCCATTAAGCCAAAATTAAACAAGAAACAAAAACATGATGGTTTCCTGCATTGTGAGCATTCAACCATCAAGTTCCTCTTCTGCTTATCTCATATATGTAGAATGTTATTTTCTGCTGAAATTAACAGGGAATAGGCTATACAGATATTTTGATTGAATAAATTGTTTCCTATATTTAGTGTATTAAGTTTGGATCCAAGTGTCTGATCATTCAGGCAACCTGCTAATCTTTCTACAAAGGTTCCAATTCATTTACTCCTTTAACATTTCTCTCCAGTTTCATGCAGCAGAAGAAGATGGCAAAGATCCTTATAACAGTATGTTCTGATTTATTTATTTGTCATAAATACAATCAACCCAACATAATGGTTGAAACAGAGGGAAAAGTCAAGTGCTGAGTATATAAAAGCCTTTTTAATCATGAGGTAGAGGAAGGAACATTATTCCCCAGCTATTTTCAGCCAAAATACTTGTTTAGCAAATGTGGAGGAGGATATGATGTAAGGAACAAAAAAAGATTTTCCTGAACACTATTCAATAAATAATGCACATTAATGATTGAAATAAATATTTAATTGCGCAGTTTGTAACTCTTCTGTCTTGTGAGTGTACTTAATGCATGGTCCAATGCAGTAAAAATCTGTGACCTAAAATCTTCCAAGATGAATGTGGCCTATGTTTAGTGTGCATAATAGAGCAGCCATATTATTCTAGGTAGGAGTTATTCACTACTACCATATAAATGCAGCCCCAAAGGAGTAATCAGATAAGAGTATTAGGAATGAGAAATATTGACCTCTTCCTGTATCACACTAAGCCATAATATAGTTTGTCTGGCACAAGAAATGGATAGTTGTTGCTCATACAATGGATTGTCAGGACCAGCTACCAAGATCTGAACAGCAGCTTTTCCCAAACAGATATATCCAATATGTTGACACTAAAATTTCTCGAGTTCGCAGCCAACATGATTTTTGAGGGGAAATCGTGAAATGTGTCATAAACACCCTTAGAATGAATTGATGAGTAAATGATTAAAATGCTCATGACATGCTCAAACACAGAGATAACTTGTCCATTCTGACAAATATGATGAATTTACATCTCATTTGACATAATGTGTACTTTGTGTACTTGATTGTATGTAGTTTATTTGAGTAACCTAGAAATTATCCTAGGCATTAGGAAAAAAAATGCAGAACTATTTAAAGAGGGATTCTGCAGGAATCTGTAAAAGATCTGGACTGCATTCCAAGAGAGAAGATGTATCTGACAAGAACAGCAAAAATCTTCCTGGACCTTAAAAGACTGGGGCCAAATCCTATATACACTGAAGTCCCTCTGAAAGTCTTATAACATATGTATTACACCTCAAGCTTTCATTTTTTTTCTTTGTGTAAATAAACAATTAGATGTTTTGATGTAATCCTAGTACATCCCCTAAAGTTGAACAAGAATTTATAGAAATTAGTGGGAACTTATTTCCAAGTTTTCTTTCAGGACTTGGAAAAAGAGAATGTAAGTCAACTTGACAAGTTAGGAGCCAGCCTACAGATTTCCAGCTCATAACTGTTGATGTTTGTTCAGTTGTTCCTCTGAGTAACAAGGGCACAAAGCAGTTTAATCTGATGACTTGTGAACTGTATTGAAAGGATAAATTATCCTGAAAGGCAGATTAAAAATCCATAAAAATAATGAACTAGATAAAAATAAAATAACATTTCCTTTCACACCCACTCTGTGAATTGGATAGCCAATCTTCACCTCTTAAGAGAGCCTTAAACCATGTTAAGACATGTCATGAAGCTTGATGCAGTTGCTAGCATTTGAGTGAGGAAAGTTTCCTTGGTGCTGGGAGGGTATGGTGGTACAATGGTGGGTCACCCTTCTTTCCTTTTCCTTTTCCTTTTCCTTTTCCTTTTCCTTTTCCTTTTCCTTTTCCTTTTCCTTTTCCTTTTCCTTTTCCTTTTCCTTTTCCTCTCCCCTCTTCTCTTCTCTTTTCTTTCTCATTCTTGGCAAACTGCCCCAGTCATCTGAGCAGTGTATAACAAGGTATAAAGACAAGGATAACTGAAATCAATGCATAAAGCAGAGCAGAGATTATATATCGTGTGATTTATATAAAGAGGAGCACCTATAGTCACAAAGCGTAAAGACCCAATGGAATGTTTTGGCTGTTTTACAGCATGCATGGAAGATGGAGGCTACATATCTGAGGGAAGCACATCCCAAGTATGGAATCCATTACAAAGAAGGCCTGCCTCCAAGTCCAGGTTCCACGAACCTTGTATAGAGAGGGAATACTAAGCAGGACCTTTCAGGATGACTGTACCAGGTGGGCAGATTTGGGTAAAGTGGCATCTCCTGGCCAACCCTTCTTGGATGGGAGCAGAATCAGTACAGAATAGCCTGAGCTATGCTCTAGGGTAGTCTGCTACCCTCATACATGGTGAAAAAACCTGGTCCATAAGAATCACTGGTCGGTTGCATCAACTTCTGCTATCACCTACAGCAGCGTAGAACATGGGCATGGAGGCTGCCATCTTAGCCATCCCTTTAGATTCCAGAAGGTTTTGAACTGGTTTGGTCATCAACCTCTCACTTTTTATTCCTTATCTCAGTAGCTTCAGTGAAACTCAGACTGCATGTTGCACTGCACTCTCCATAGCTATTATCAGCCACTGATGATTAATCTACTTTTTCAGGCACATGTGACAATACTCTGAGCAAAAGCAGTGCCTTGAAAAAATAAGAAAATTATACAGGCTAAAATAACACTGCTTTGGCTATGCCGTTACAATAAGGGGCTGTGGCTCACTCCTCTTACCGAATGGTGTAGGTAAAAAATTCCCCAAATTTTCCTTTGGAAATACCCATACTTTCTTGGTTGTATAGCACTTGTTGTACCTAAGACATCCCACAAAAACTGAAAGGTACCCAACAATAGTTATTTATTACATAAATGTATATACTTCCTTGTCCTAAGAATCTAGGCACCTCAGAATAAAATTAACCAAAGCTATTACAAAGATAACATTAAAATGACATAACAACCAATATACCTTCAAACTCTTTGCAAAAAGCTGGGGTTCTGTGATGGTGAGCAAAGGGTTCCTCAGCAGAGAAATCAATGGGGAAATG